AGTGATGACGTTGCATCTAAACTGACCTGCTGGAAGAGGACAAAAAACTGAAATACAGCAAAGATAGCTGCTGACCTTCAGCTATGTCTAAATGCAATGTCACTTTTGTGTTTTAATGTTCCAATCTCATTCTGCAGTTAAATTTTTGGAGGTCATCAAGCCGTTCTGTGCGGTCCTGCCAGAAATTCAGAAACCAGAAAGAAAGGTAAGCTTTGACCTTTAAGCATATATTCAAATGTTATATACAGGAACGTCTCATGTATGTACTGTGTTTATGTGAACAAAACGTGTATGACATTTGCTTTTTCTTTTCTTTTTATCTCACAGATTCAGTTTAGAGAAAAAGTACTATGGACCGCCATCACACTATTCATCTTTCTGGTGTGCTGCCAGGTTGGTATCTGCGGATCACAGTCTGTTAATTACAATCCGCTTACAAGTTAGTGTTTGTGTTTTTGGTGGCACTGCCTTTATAACTCTTTCTCTCGTTAACTCAGATTCCACTCTTCGGCATCATGTCATCAGATTCAGCAGATCCCTTCTACTGGATGAGAGTAATCCTGGCTTCCAACAGAGGTGTTTGCATATGTTGAATTGTTTGTCATAGAAATCTTTTATGTTCTGTCTTCATCATGGAGACGTAGTCCAATGCCTCTGTGGTTATCAGGACTAACATAGTCTCATTATCACATGTCAAAAGTCAAGGGTCAACACTTGTAGGTCTTCTTGCATTGTTGTTGGTACTGTTACTGACTGTGACACTAATGCTGTCCACTTTGGTCTTCAGGTACCCTGATGGAGTTGGGTATCTCACCCATTGTTACCTCAGGCCTCATCATGCAGCTGCTGGCTGGTGCCAAGATCATTGAGGTGGGAGACACTCCAAAGGACAGAGCACTCTTCAATGGAGCTCAGAAATGTAAGTATTATTACTCGCTGCACTTGCTATTTTTAGAGCTTGTCATGCACCTTTTGAAGCCTTGAAGATGTCTTACTTTGATACTTTGAAGCTTGCACACTCATAATTCTGTTCATTTTTCAGTAACATCAGTTTTGCAGCAGCTGTCCTTGTAAGATTGCCAATTTCAAGTGTTTTTTTTCTGTACTTTCGCAGTGTTTGGAATGATCATCACCATTGGACAGGCCATTGTATATGTTATGACTGGCATGTATGGAGACCCTTCAGAGATGGGTGCTGGGATATGCTTGCTCATCATCATTCAGGTTAATATAAAGTGCCATTGCTCTCCAACTTAAACTATGCATCGCAAAACACTATTTAAGTCTTTAATCTGCCAGTTTATTTGTACTGAAAGTGTATCTATCGTCTCAATATAAACCTCTCGTCTGTGTCTTCAGCTGTTCGTTGCAGGTCTGATCGTATTGCTACTGGATGAACTCCTCCAGAAGGGCTATGGTCTTGGATCCGGTATTTCTCTTTTCATCGCAACCAATATCTGTGAGACCATCGTCTGGAAGGCCTTCAGCCCCACCACCGTCAACACCGGCAGAGGTATGGCCACAAGGAAACAACACATTTTGAACCTGAGTGATGACAAGGAGGATGCATCTCTTCATCTGTATGGCACTGACTGACCCTGTGGTCCTGTGGTTTATCCAGGTACTGAGTTTGAGGGAGCTATCATTGCGCTCTTCCATCTGCTGGCCACTCGCACAGACAAGGTGCGCGCCCTGAGAGAAGCCTTCTACAGGCAAAACCTGCCGAACCTCATGAACCTCATCGCCACCGTCTTTGTGTTTGCAGTGGTAATATACTTCCAGGTGAGCTGACAACACAAACTAAATACAGTTGTGTCTTAACCTACTTTTCTTGCACTAAAAGAAATGTGGATTTTGGGTTTTGTACTAAATAACTGTTGCCTCACCAGGGCTTCAGAGTGGATCTGCCCATCAAGTCAGCACGCTACCGTGGCCAGTACAACACCTACCCCATCAAGCTGTTCTACACCTCCAACATCCCCATCATCCTGCAGTCTGCCCTGGTCTCCAATCTCTACGTGATTTCTCAGATGCTCTCAACACGTTTCAGCGGCAACTTCTTGGTCAACCTGCTGGGAACCTGGTCTGTAAGTATAGAATGGGTGCTTTGTCTTGGCAACATCTGTGTGAAGTAGGAAACTGAGAAGTTGCTTAAGAGGATATTGACACATCTGTACTTGAGTAGAACATGCGCATGTTTAGTCAGATGTGATCTCACTAACAAAACGTCTGTGTTCAGGACACTTCAAGTGGAGGACCAGCTCGGGCCTACCCAGTGGGCGGTCTCTGCTACTACCTCTCTCCTCCAGAGTCATTTGGTTCGGTTCTAGATGACCCAGTTCATGCCGTTATCTACATTGTCTTCATGCTTGGCTCCTGCGCTTTCTTCTCCAAGACCTGGATTGAGGTCTCAGGTTCCTCTGCCAAAGATGTAAGTGTGTGGTTGTGGAAATATAACTAAGTTGCCTTTTGTCAGAGTCCCCCTTAGAAATGTCCTCTAATGTCATTTTGTGTGTGTCAGGTGGCAAAGCAGCTGAAGGAACAGCAGATGGTAATGAGGGGACACAGAGAAACCTCTATGGTGCACGAACTCAACAGGTACAAATGTGAAAATGCCGTCTCAGATTTCATGTTTGCATATAGGAGGCTATTTTCTTCAGTATGTATTTATTTACAATTTGTGTCTGCAGGTACATCCCTACAGCTGCTGCATTTGGTGGGCTCTGTATAGGAGGACTGTCTGTCATGGCTGACTTCCTGGGTGCCATTGGATCGGGTACAGGAATCCTCTTGGCTGTGACCATCATCTACCAGTACTTTGAGATCTTTGTGAAGGAGCAGAGTGAAGTTGGCAGTATGGGAGCACTGCTCTTCTAGAAGATATCTTCTGATACACATCAGACACAAAGAATCCACCCCCATCATTTCTTTTTTTTTATTTTGCATTATTTGCAATTCGCACAATCAGTATATTTTGCAGCTGGGATAGGTAATTTTACTGCACCACCTCTTCTGTTTCCCACCTTACTGCTCTTGCGTGTCAATGCTGAGAAAACTGTTTTGGTTACTCCCAAGGTTGAGCATAGTATTGTGTCTCTTCAGTCATTTTATCACAGTAGCATTACCCATCTCGCTGCAGGCTGCCTAAATCCCCACTGACTGTCTTATTTGCTGAAGAATGCCTAAACACACACACAAGTGTGAGGTGCTGTCTTCGACTTACCTCAGGCATTGTTCACAGCAACATGTTCAATGAACACTAAGACAGTAACAGCATGTTGATGCTTACTTTAAGCTGAAAGCACTGTGCCAGGACATTTCGGGGAGTTGAAAGAAAGCCATGTCATGTTCATCACCTAGCCATTATGCTTGAGGTTTCTAGGAGCCTAAATTAGGATGTGAAAAGTGTAAATAACATGTGCTTAAACTCCTGGTTAGGTTTCTGGTAATCTCAGACAAACTGTCGGTGGTTTTCATTTACCTTTATTTTGATTTTAAATCATGGACTATGTTTATATTCACTCTGGTCTTATGTAGGGCACAGTGTTCGTCCACCATCTCTGGGTCCTCAAAGGAAAGTGTATCTGTGTCTTCATGCTCTTTTATTCCCAGACTGAATCGCTGCACAAAACTGCCGAGATGGTCGGGATGAGGGTGGGTTTGATAGGGATGAAAAAGGGGTTTCATTTTTGTTTTTACTTTATGTAACAGACATAATTGTGTTATTAAAAAAAAAAACAGGATTTGTTTTCCAACACATTTAGAAATTGTGTTTTGATTCCTATCGTCTCTGTGTTGTGCTTTGTTGTGGCATTATCAGGAAAGCCAACAGGATGCTAGTTGTGGTTTAGATAATACATTTAATTCCATAGCAAACAAATAGTTTTGGCACAGGTTAGTTAGAGTTGGATTTAACACTAAAGAGTGATAAGACTATAAAACAATCTGGCAGCAACAAGTGAATTACATGCTAGAGATGCAGCTCTGACATTAGGTTAAAGGGTTGTGACATATTTGTGGTCCATAGAGATATGATTTGTAATACACCTAAGTTTAGTTGCTGTGCCTTGTACTCCTGCCTTAACTTCCACCAGGGGCCACCCTGAGATTTGAGATGAACCCTCTTTGCATATATGCAGTAAAGTAAAACCATAAAGGGAGATTTTTCTCCTCAGTTGAAAGTAATATATTTAATGATGGTGTTATGCAAGTCTGAATCAAATGTAACATGGTGTACCAAACTGTCAGACCAGCCTCTGTTTTCAAGCCAGAGAGATGTTCACCACAGTCAGTCCAGCAACATTTCCATATTACAGGGAAGTGTTTCATTCATTTTCATTATCAAACCCTGCTTATCTGCCAGTGAAAACAGTGACAAACAAAGGTGTATGGAGCATTTCCAAGAACAGCCACATCTGGTTAGAACAATTCGCTGTTTGTAGGTACCCTGTGATCTGAAGACTAAGCGTGGCCAACACTAACTAAATAACTTACGGTGAAGCTTATAGATTGTACAATTATGAACTACACACACAGTTTCCATCATCAGCTCTTGACATGAAAATCCTAACACTTGTTACTTTTAGGATGAGAGCTGTCAGAGCTCCCACTGGTTATCACCTGCAGTTAGATAGGCTTTAACTTGTGGCTAATAGCACTGGTAACTAAAGTAAGTTTTTAAAAAAAACAAAAAAAACTTTTATTGTCAAATTCATTTATAAGCACGATTTGTTTGAATATATCAGTTAAAACAGTCTTTGAATTGTGTATATATATATATAGACAGAAAGGGAGAGAGGTTGACGGATACAGATGTAGATATATGTAGATAGTGTTAAATTTGTTAAAAATTCTAAGCAGAATTATAATTTCTTATTATGGAAGATGTTAAAAGGTCTCATCATATTAAATCTTATTTGTTCTGTAATATATTTTTAAAAAAAAGAAGCTTATTTAAATTTTTTATACGAGTGACGTCATCATCCCGCGCCCGCATGTGGACAGGTCAGAGAGGTAACGAGGCTGTTGGACGCCGGGTAGCTTGTCAAATGAAATCCTTGCGGTTGTTAAATAATCTCTCTCACACTGGTCATCTTTGATCACAGAGGACAAGGCACGACGAACGAAACCACCAGCAGACATGTCGTACTGCAAACAAGAGGGTAATTTCCATCTTCTCTCATTCATTTCCCGTCCACGGCTGGGCAATGTCATCGAGCCAGCTAGCCATGCTAAGCTAACATGTAGAAACAGCCAGACGTTACAGTAGGTTACTGCGCATTAGCTAACTGGCTACGGAGGTAAGGAAAGCCACCAGTAGTAGGGAAGATAGGTAGGCTCTGGCTGAGGCTTAATATGCTAATTTTTGACATGTACGTTATGAATTAGGTGAGCTGTCACGCTGCTATCGGCTGATGCTATGAGGAGTATCGAAGCAGGGCAGGTTAACTTAAACCCTGCCGTGCTAAAAAGCAATCTGTGCCACAAAAAATGTTTTTTGCTTCTTGTTAAAGCTGTATTGCTCTGTTTGTTTAGGTCTCTGGCCGCTTTATCTGAATTAAGCAGTCAAATACACGCAACTCAATGTCCATGGTGACAGCGAAACACATCTTTGAGAAACTTTCTTGTAATCCAATATTGGTGACCTAAAAGATGTTTGCAGTTTGTGGCGCAATCCGGCCAGACATTTAATGTGATTTTCGTTATACTCTAATATTGTTTTTGATGTGTTTGGTGTGTCAAATATACTTGTTTTGACTGTAATTAACATGCGATACAGATTGGTTTTTACAATTATCCTATCGTCTATATCCCCTAAAATCTAATCATCATGAATGAAGTCAAGTAATTTTGATGCATTGGTTCCATTTCAGTCACAATGTAGAGGCTACAGTCACTTTTTGGCAATAAAAAAACTGCATTATGTGAGTTGCACTGGGTTTAAAGATATTTTAGCTGATTAAAACAACTGAGTTGGTTGTAATCTAGGTCACAGAGCAGGTGAAATATTGCAGAGTCATCCGTTTTAAGCAAGCAGTTACTTATTTGCACAACACAACCAGGTGTCCCTGTCAGCCAAGCAGCAATAAGAACAGTACTTTTACAGTACTTTTGCAGTTATGAACAAACAGATATTAGTGTCATATACATCAGCCAAGAGCAGGTTTCTTACCTTCACAGTTTATCTAATTACTGTTTTTGTTGTTGTTTTTTAATTGTCATTCTAGGTAAAGATCGCATCATCTTTGTGACAAAGGAAGACCATGACACACCCAGCAACGCTGAGCTGATTGCAGACGATCCCGATGATCCATATGAGGAGCAGGGTTAGTCTTGTCGTCTTTATGTACCTGGTCTTCAATTATTCCTTCTTGGGTTACTTCACAATTTTGAGAATTGAATAAACCGAACTCAAACAGCAGAGGCTGAGAGAAGTAATTTCCCAGTTCCTAAAAAAAAAAAAAATCAAAGATAGCTGTATCCTATAATTTTCATAATGCAAAGTAATCTTGTCTGTCCCCAAGCTGCATTTTAACCACATTTGAGTTTTCATAATAATGAGTTTCTGACTTGTAAACAGTGTTTATGTTGAGATGTACATTGTGATTTTGACTGTAATCTTCCATTTTGACAGTTACTAATATGGAAGTTCCTGACAGCCACACAAATATGGACAAGTCACTAGTTCAGTGTAGCTAAGTCCATATTTGATGGTCAATATAATACACGGTGTTTCAAGAATCAAATGATCAACTCTGTAATCATACCACCATCTTGATGATGTGAACACTTGCAAGTCACAAACATGAGAATCTGTCTGTCTCTAATGTCCATTCAATATGAAGATGCAGATCTTTAAAAACTCTTTGTATTAACCTTTTAAAAATTGTAATGTTTACACCACAGACTGTATTTATAATCCTCTTGGTCTGAAAAGCAAAGCAATTGTGGAAGCCACTTAAACTTGCATTCTCTCTAACGGTCAGCAGGGGGCGACTCCTGTGATTCTAAGTCAGATTGTATAGAAGTCTGTGAGAGAACCAACCTGCCCGTTTCAATCACGAGTTCTAAGTCTACTAAAACAGCACAGGGCATTTTGTAAATTATGGTCCCATTTTAGAGGAAAATAAACCATAAAGCGGGGTTTGTTTTAGGAATAAACTACCTTGGAATTGACAGGTCATGGACTGTATCAGCATGTGTTGTGTCCTTGAGTTCTCACTCAGATCCACCGCTCAGTGGCTGGTTTCAAAAGAGCATGATGTCCAAATGCTGAACTCAAGGCTTCAAAATGGTAGTCCACAAAGCAATGTGTCATGTCACCGTCACTACATCCGTCCTTTATGTACAGTCTTTGCTTCTGACTAATCAGTGACCCTGGTGACATTGTCATTTTTAGACACTTTCCTCCAGGAACAGAGAAGACGTCATGTGACTGTTTATAGCTAAATTGCTATTGTCTGGTTTCTTTAGGCCTAATCCTGCCAAATGGAGACATAAATTGGAACTGCCCATGTCTGGGCGGGATGGCGAGCGGACCATGTGGCTCTCAGTTCAAGGAGGCCTTCTCGTGCTTCCACTACAGTTCAGAAGAGGTGAAGGGCTCTGAGTGTATCGACTACTTCAGTAAAATGCAAGAGTGCATGCAGCGGTATCCTGAGCTCTATCCCCAGGAGGAGGACAAAGAAAGCTCCTCTCAAGTAGAATCCCGCTCTGGATCTGACTCCGCTGCCCCATCTGACAATTCTGCCTTAATATCTGAGAGTGACTCTACTGCAGCCACTTCATCTGACAGCACTGCACCTACAGACAGCCAGATCGCCAGCTAAAGTCTCTCAGTCACCATTGACAGGCTCTTGTTCCTGTTGCGCAAGCACCGGCCAGCATAAGTGACTCTCCATGAGGAGCTCTTGATTGGTCTCGTCTCCTGTTCAAACCCTTCGGAGAGGGCTTATTGACACAGCTGCAACACTCGTGGGAAATATTTACAGGCTGTCAAAGGAAGACTTGCAGAGAAAAGTAGCGTATGTACAACAATATAGGCTGCTTTGTTTGCTGAGCACTCACAAATCATTTATTAATGTTATTACTGCCCCCGCAGCAAATAGCTGTGGGGGCATTAGCTGAAAGGCTCCCTTAATATGCAATAGACATTTAATTTGCTGCTTGTTCTCTTGTCAATCAGAAGAGCTGTTTGTTAGCATCAATTATGTGTGCTGTTATGTTACTGTCAGCAGCTCAGGAGAATCAATTAACTGATTTATTACTAATTATTCAGTTTGACAGAAATCTGAACTGTAATCTCCAGATCTTTTCATTTGAGCAACATTCACCTTTTTTTCTTTTTTTTTAATACCTCAACAGAAGAAAATTTGACTCTTAGTTCTACTTGCTTTCCATCACTTTAGAGACCAAAACGCAAATAATCAGCAAGAACCTAAGGCTGCAATTAAAACTTCTGTGCAGTTTACACATGATACTGTTTCTGTTTGTTGGCACTTCATAGAAACTTCAGGATCTCCAGCTACATGTGTTGCAGTAAGAATAATAGTTGGCATTTTTCTAAATTGGCTTCGTATCTGACCTGTCACATTTAACTGTTTTTGTTGTCTCAACACTGTCTAGAGTCTTCACTTAGACGCTGTGGTCGCTGTTCACTGTCATTCAGGACCTAAAGGACTTGATGGGTTTTCTCAAATGTCTGGATTAAAATGATCGTCTAACAATTTCAGCTTCCAATTTCCTTTTGTTTCAAAGACAAAGAACAACATCCTATTTTTGTGGGATAAACATTTGAATTTATTCGATGGTCAACAGGAGAGAGATGATGAATTTGATAATAATATAGAACAAACAGCCCGGCTGGATGTGAACGAGGACATTTGGATCATGGCCAGTGTCTTAAGGTTGCGGCCGCCATGATGCCCCATAAGTAATGTTTAAGATCTGAAACTAAACTTTGACAGTTCACTTATGTTCTACATGGTTGAATGAGTAGTTTAATCTTTTGCACATTGTTCTTTGCATATAAAAAAAAAGAGATGATAAAATATTCACAGAAGACTTGTCAGACAAATCAAGGTAGTTTACCAACTTAAGCCACTTTCAAAAGGAAACTGGCTTATTGCTGTGCAGTGTTGTTTTGTGAATTAGTTTTGCAGGTCGCGTCTTGAGTCGGGTACAACAGAAAGACATTCAGTCCTTCCTCCTAAAGAATTATTCACTGTTTTACCAGTATTTTGTGTTGCACACCCACATGTGATCAGACCGTTCATGAGTTTGACTCTTCGATCATTTTCCCCCTTGATCGTGATTTTCAGTCCATTTTCTGAATTGTCCGCTGACTCATGAGTATCTTGTAAAATCTTCTGAAGTGCGTTCCATGTTTTTGCCCCATATGGATCATGGGCATCCATTCCTCAGGCTCTCTGATATAAGCAGACCTAGTCGAGGTGTCCATGGAACCACAACGCTCTGCATGGTGACCAGCAAACGGCCTTTTCCAAGCTCCTCTGGGCCTGCAAGCAGGTACTCTGTGCCTGGTACAAGTAAAGAGCAAGATGCTGTAAATGGTTTAATTAAATGCCAAATCTGGTTGTTTCTCTTAACTATTTATCTGCAGAAATGTGACATACTGGGTACTAAACAGTGCTGTGTTTCATGTACCAACGCTCCCTTTCTTTGTCCTGTCTTCAGCTTGTCTTACCTGGGTTCAGTATGGGGCAGGTACAACCGCGGCTAGTCCAGGACAGAGGATAGATACTAACTGTCCCCAAAGAGAGCGCCACCTGCCCTGATCGAAGGACCTTCCGAACTTTGACCTGCACTTCTGCATGGCTCCCTTTGTCATGAGCAGACAGCACACTCGCTTTGATCACTGCAGCAAAGAAGAAAAGCCACACTGCAGGTCACAATCTATAGAACCGTTTTTAAACAAGTCAAATTTGCACAGGTTTCTTACCATAGTCATGTTTGGTCTTACAGAAGTCAGATGCACTTCTCAGCTTCTTCTCCTTACAGCTGCACTTCCCTGTGGGCAAACATTTAGTTAGGCTTTGACCATCTTTTATTTCCTGTTTTAATCCGCACAGTGCAGATAAACATCACCTGTGTAATGCAGAGCAGAGACTGCAAGCTCCTTCGACCACTGTACCTCATCTTCAATTGTGAACATGTGATCCAGATCAGGGATTTTTCCACCAATGGGCACATTTATGACTTGATTATTTGTGTAGCTATAAAGGTAGAACATAGCATAAAGGTCTACTATTAGCAATGACCTTTTTTTGGTTAAATTTAGCTTTCTCAGTGAAAAATGTGACCGTGGAGTAAGAGAGTTTGTATACCTGTCCAGACATTGCCCAGTGGTGGGATCACAGCTGTGAGGGCAGGCGCAGGGTTTGCAGCCTTCCTCTGAAAGGCCCCAATAGCCAGGCAGGCAGTGGCTGCAGCTTGTGCCCCCTACACCAGGTTTACAGCGGCACTGGCCAGTCCTGGGGTGGCACCAGGGTCCCTCCTCTCCAGGCAAAGGAGGCAAAGAGCCCTGAGCATCACACCAACATCCTGAGGAATACGGGCACAAATACAGGCCTGGACGTTGATGAAACTGTTTTTTGTTTTTCTTTAATTTTTGAATTATGAGTTTGCAAAATGCCAGCGGCATGGAGCTACAAAACATTTGTGGCCCTCATACATTAGCAATATTCATGAGAACTGCTTTAAAACACCTGAGTCAATTCAAAACCACAGTAAGCGACTTCTGCCCCATGACTCTTACGTGTGCATGCGTGGGGGGATTTAAGGGGCAGGGATGGGTGGCGCTGGTAGCCGTGGCGACAGCGCTGGCATCGACGGCCAACAGTATTGTGTTGGCAGTTGTCACAAACCCCCCCACTGGTGCCGCCAGAGGAAATCCACGCCCGCTGAGAGAAGTGACAGCTGTCTGCATGGCTGTGGCACTCACACTCTTCATTCAGAGGTGTAAAGGTCAGAGAAACAAGAGAGATGAAATGGAGACAAAGTGTGGATGGCAAAGACAAAGTGAACAGGAAACATGGGAGAGAGTGGGAAAGTTGTACGTCAATGTTTAGTTTTGATGAGTCAAGAAAGATTGCTTGTGTATAAATTGTTGCAGCCTGCACCGACACTGACAGCACCGAATACAATTTAAAGATGCACTTTAAGGTGCACTGTAAAAAAAAAACAAAAAAACATTGTAAAATGATAGTGTTGTAATGTTCAAAAACTGTAAAAATAGTAAAGATAATGTAAAATACCCATAAAATAATAGTGTTTCCAGCTGATTTAAATCCAGCAAAACAGTGTAATTATATGGCCACACATTGTTAAGGACTGTTTTTTTTTATTTTTTTAAAGTTCTTAATTTGAACATTATTTAGTTATTATTATGTAAATTATTCCAAAAATTACAATTAAACTACATTAATTTTTTACGCTCTTTACCAGGGTCCAAACACCTTGACAAAACTCAGAATCAAACGTAAACAGACCAGATATTAACGGGACTATGAAGGCATCTCTGAGTCAGCCTTAAACTTGTATTTTTAAATGAGTAGCAGTTTCCAATTGTTGCCTCTCATCCACCCAACAAAGGCGATGACGCTTCAACTTGGGTTTCAGTATCTTACTTGAGTGACACGTGGACAGGAGGAGCTGGGGACTTGAACTGACAACCTGCTTTCCCACCTGAGCCATGGACATTTTGCTTTAACATCTTAAAATCTCTTCTGCCTTTTTTTTTTTTTTTTTAAATCAGCAAACTAAAAATGCCCTGATCAAACAGTTGTGCAGTCCTGCTGGTGGTCACTTACTCTGACATGGGTTGGACTCCCCACTGCTCCCGTTGGCAGGCCTCCAGGGACGATCGTTGTAGAGCGCCGCACACTTCTCACAGTGATCCCCTGCTGTGTGGTGAGTACACAGACACCTACCAAACACCTGGAAGACACATCTGGAGCTCCTCAGGTACTTCACCCACATTAACACATGTCACAGACACATGCTGTCTAGAGACAACCATAAAATACATCCAGGCAGGTGGTGGAAAGTGAAGGTCAAGCTATTTAAAAGATTTCATTGGTGATTTGTTTCTGAGGACGTACGTTTTACATCTGGACCTAACATCCTGAAACCTATGTTCTGTGAGTATGTAACAGAACATTGGCACAAACATGCCGTACACACATACACACTGAGGAAGCTGCTCACCATGTTGCTGTCCTGTCTTTCGTCTTGACTGTTGTTGTATGGAACACAGTACTCGGCATGCCCATGGCACAGGCAGGTCCCTCTGGCCAGTAAAGTATAAATGGCATAAGGTGCTGAGGCTCGGCTTTCTGCAGTGGGTGTGGCAGTCAGAGCTGAAACTGTGAGGCTTGTCGGTTCTGCTGAAGGGTTCAGAGATGCAGGACAAGTCTGAGCTTTTAGCAGTCTGATGCGGAGATTTGTGAGGGTCAGGCGGGCAAGGGCCTCCGGACTGTAGGGGTCGAGTGTTTTAGCACCGCTGGGGTCTAGAGTACGAAATATGACCTAGAAAGAGAAACAAATCACTGAACAGCACTGACTCAAACATTCTCATAATACGTTACGTCATATTTTCTCACCTCTCCTCCACTGCAGGGTGCAGCACCAGTATAACGAGATGTACACAGTGAGCCTGGCTGATTAAAGTCATCAGGCAAACCAAATTCCACGCTGCAATTGTATGCAAAGAACTTTACAGCGTCCCAGGTCTTTCCAAAGTCAGTTGAACGTTCAATGATCATGGCAGCAGGCCGTGGTGACCTGAACACCAGCACAACATGAGTCAGACAGAATTGTGTTTCCAGATCCAATCGTATCTCATCCTGCTGCTCCTGCGTGGTGGTACCTCCACCTGATGCCCACCAGGTGTCCGGATGCAAGAAAGGGTCGTCAGTCATGTGAGCAGGTGGGTGAGTGTCCTGGTGGTGGAGAGTGCTGTTCCCACAGCAGCTTGAGAGGGTGAGGAGGGTCCTGCCACTAGCCAGATTCCCTATGGGAGGACTACAGGCATGGTCCACACATCTAGAAACTGACAGAGAGGATGAAGGAGAATCGGTCTCACAACGTGGTAAAAAAACAAAAAACCTTTCACTAAGTGTAGAGATGATGGGGGATTTGAGATCAGTGCTTTTAGATCTGCTGACAAAGAGACTCTTACAAAAGAACAAGCACTTTCCATGACTGACATTATGGACAAAACCAAAGTCCTACTCTTTGTGTTTTCCATGAATATTTAATTTTCCAGACCATTGTGCTGCTGCTGCTGTTGTCACAGAATCCTGCCCTTTCCCCAGTGGAAAGCATGAAGGCTCTCAAGTTACATGCAACGTTAAGAAGAAGGCAGCCGCACTATTAATTTTATTAGATATGACGTTTATTTTTCTTTTACTGTAACACAAACCCCGCAAATGAAAAGAGGAAGGCACCGTGAGCTCATCAGTTTCATACAATTTTAACGCATTTGAGACACCATGACATCCTGACCAGCTAAAACACAGCCTGAAACCAGCGTAAAAAATTAGAGTATTATTTGTTCATTCCCAATGACACAACTTCTCCAGCACTACAGCATCAGCACAAACAGACGATGATGCGCCTCACCTGCTCCGCTCCGCGTCACAAACAAAAACAGCCAACCGAGCGCCACCAGCATCTCATGTCGACCTGTTCCGAGCATGTTAGACACTGCCATCCTTGTTTCTGCTGTGTTTACAACATACACGGTGCGATAAACACCTTCCTGCAGAGATGAGTCCCAACATTCTGTGTCGTCTATTTAACAGACAAACGCATTTCCCTGCCAATTACGCATTGCGCAAAGTGTCCAGATGAGTCCTGGAGTATTTTTCCGATGTCCACCCAGGAATATTTGTTGACAGATGAAGTTCAAATCATCCTCAGGGACCGCTATAGGGAACCTCTTCCGAATAAAAGTGAGTTATGCGTCCTTGGTGCCGCAAAAGATGGATCGTTGGGTTTTCTACGAACGTTCCACGTTGGAAGACGAATTTAAAAACGAAATGTTCGTCATTTCCATTTGATGGATGACGGTCATATCTCATTTTGCGCCATAGCATGCAGCCCTTTTCTATGCTAATAAATTCATGGAAAGGTTTCTTTTCCCAGCCAAACAGAGAGCTTTGTGCGCCAGCCAAGTCCAGCGCTCTACGCGTTTACGCACATGAGGGGACTGTGCGCTCTATTTATACGTGGCTCCCCTCCGCCCACACACACACACACACACACACACACACACACACACACACACACTGCGGCTGTCTCTCTGTAGCAGCCCCAAAACTCCAAGATTGAGAGGGTGTATTCTTCCCTCAGTCC